GGGGAGGTACCGTGTGCATGGGAGGCCTAGGGTGACACTAGGGGCCTTTCGTACCACGCGTACGGATACGAAACGAATGCTGATTCGTCACCTGGGTTCGAGGATTCGTCAGAGTCGCCGCGCGGAGAGCTCGTTTTCACGAATGGAAGCAGGGAGTAGTACAATACCGGTATTGTACTACTCCCTGAATGGAAGCCTCTTCATTCGTGGCACGCTCCGAATCCGTCAGGTACACATAGTTTTGCAAGGTACACATGTTTTGCCAGGTACACATTTTTTCCCTTGATTCCATGATTCATATCCATGCATGTACGTGTGCGCGAACACACCCGTACGCCAAACTACCGGCCGTATTCGTAGTTGCCATGCACATTTGCATTAATACGACTTGCGAAACCTGAATTCTGTTTTCAACGAAACGATTACGAGCCGAATCAAACTTTCGTTTCGCATTCGATTCGTAGCAAATGCGAAAGGTCCCTACTACCAATAAAGCTCCACACCAGCCACACTGCACGAAAGCAAGTAGTAGTACTCTTGACAAGTCTTGTTTCGTTCCATAGAGATGATAACGGGGAACTCATCAGAGGAGAAGCAGTTGTTGAATGATTTAGCACTTGTTATAGTAGCACTTGTTATAGTTGTGTCTGGTAGGGTTCAGAACACCTCCATTCTGCACTATTCCTTTTGTGTTGATATGTCACATATGTGAGTTAGTTGAGCGGTTTACACCTCAGTGCGCCAATATCTTGTCCATAAAAATAAAAATTAATAGCATTACAGGTCTACTCTCCATATAACGTAATGTCTGGGACCACGCAAACATTATGTTATATCGAGAGTTAAGTTATGTAGAAAACCGTGTGTAAAATACAATATGCACCTCAAAATGAAGGGTATTACAAGGCGGGTTTAGCCGTGCAAACATATACACACTGTACCACTATCGACATCAGATACCATCAATGCCGCAGAATATATGCACAATAGGACTAAACTGGCTGGATGTCTTCAAATGTAAGAACAATGTTTATCTAACCAATTCAACCCAAACTACCCTGTGAGTGACATCTTTATCCTGCCCACATTCCCACACTTCAATCCTGTTGTGGACATTGAAATCCGGTGGAATGATTGGGGCCGGTGTTACATAGCACACTGTACTGGTAAACCTCCCCCCCCCCCGAATTTGTCCCCCGGGCAATCTGCTATATACATGCAGTACATTGACTCCGCGGGAAGAGTACTATGTCCTACTCCCCCCCCCCCCCCGGGCCCCACGCCTTCCCCCCACCATAGCAGTTTTCTTCTTCACGCTCTGTTACATCACAACCGGTACATGTACATGTACGTGCCACACCTTACTTCTACAGTCACACTTAGCACCACATTCGTCGACCCCCGCTCTTCTTTTCTATGTGTTAATACTTCACCTCATTCCGCCACTCTTGCTGGTTGTAAGCCGCATTATGTTGCTCTCATTATAGTTCACTGCTTAGTTTAGGTTGGTTGTCTCAATCTGACATCCAATGAATATTGTTTCAGTAGTTCCCGTATGTCACATGACTGTCGCCTTGGAGTCGACCAATGACTGATCAAACTGCGCGGGCTGGAATGCGCGGTCCAGCCTGCTCAAACGGGATGGAACTAGTTTCACAGCCCATTGTCAAGTGACGACGGGCAGTGGACAGAATCCACTGCCCGTCGTCACTTGACGACGGGCAGTGGACGGAATCCACTGCCCGTCGTCACTTGACGACGGGAAGGAGCCACTGATCTGCTGATTTTTCGTTCACTGACATGATCATTGGACATGATTGGTTCAGGAACTTGGCGCGTGTTTCGTAAAATACAAGGACAACGGACAAGGACAAGGACAAGGACAATGCGCGGTCCAGCCTGCTCAAACGGGATGGAACTAGTTTCACAGCCCATTGTCAAGTGACGACGGGCAGTGGACAGAATCCACTGCCCGTCGTCACTTGACGACGGGCAGTGGACGGAATCCACTGCCCGTCGTCACTTGACGACGGGAAGGAGCCACTGATCTGCTGATTTTTCGTTCACTGACATGATCATTGGACATGATTGGTTCAGGAACTTGGCGCGTGTTTCGTAAAAAAAAAAGGACAACGGAAAGAGGGACTAAGTAGAAAAACAACAGGAACTTGAAGAAGAGCGACCGTTTCAGTGTTTGCAACCACAAGAGTCATTAATTTTATTATGGCGCTCCCAAATTTTGATCTGGATCTGGAAGAATCCCCTCAGTGGCTGGACGATATTGGCGATGTGAATGAGCTCCTCCAACAAGTTGAGGACGAAACGGAAACTTTCATTGCGGAATCGCTCGCAAAGGAGATCTTCGACGAGCTGGATGAACCTCAGCCAAAGCGTGCAATCGCTCAGCAACCTGCAGGACCCGCGCGATTTGCCGAAGTTTCGGATAAAGACCTAGAAAACCTCCGCTTGGGCAGAACGCCCCAGTCGACTATGGCCGCCACGAAAAAGTGGCTAAGCACTATCAACTACTACCAGAAACGGAAGGGAATAGCACTGGACTTCGCAACCGGCGGCAACGAGCAGCTGGCCTCTTTCTTGCGCGGAATGTATGTAGAGCTGCGCCAGAAGAACGGGCAGCCGTATTCAAGGTCGAGCCTATTGGGATGCCGCGCAGCAATCCAAAGTCACCTGCGCATTCTGAAACGGAAGGTCAACATCTTCACCGATTCTCAGTTTCAGGATGCGAATGAAACCCTCGATGGCCATTTGAAGGCAATGAAAAGGCAAGGGCAAGTGAAGCCAGTACAGCACAAAGCAACCATTACCAGTGAGGACATGGCCAAGCTGGCCTTGTATTTCAAGCAGTCGGACACTGATCCTGTCGTGCTGACCGAAGCCGTTTGGTTTCTTGTAACGTTTCATTTCTGTCTGCGCGCCAGAGAGATCCAGTCCCTCCTTCGTGTGTCTGATTTGGAGGTGAAGAAGGACGATAATGGATCAGAGTACGTCGTACTGAGCACCGCATTCGCTCAGAAGAATTACCAGGGTGGCAGCAGCGACAGTGATGCGGTTTCTGCCGGACGAATCCAGTCACCAGAGCAAGTCGCCGCCGTCAAGCTTCTGATACGAAAGCTAAATCCGAAACATGACCGGCTGTTTCAGATGGCGTGCAAGAGGAAGCCAGTAAGCACGACCGAGCCATGGTACACTGGACAACCGCTTGGCAAGAACACCATGGCGGTGATGATGACCCGGATTTCGGAGAAGGCCAAGCTCAGCCAACGTTACACAAACCACTGCATCCGAGCATCGGTCATCACCAGGCTCACCGAAGCCGAGGTCGCACCGCATGTGATTATGGCGACTTCACTGCACAAATCTGTGCAGTCGTTGTCGTCATTCAACCAACCTACAGAAGCTGCGAAGAAATCGAATGCCGCAATCCTGGATGCCATGCTGGAGCTACCAAAACTAGCTGACGAGGAGAACTGCGCTGGAAAGGAGTCCAGTTCAGTGCCGCTCAACCCAGCTTCAACAGTCGCTGCTCCAACAGCGGCTGTTTCGTCAGCTCCTGCTACTAGTACTACTGAAGGGTCCCGTCGCCAACTTGAAGTCCCTTTCCAACCTACGTTTCAGAACTGCTCGGGCAATGTGTCTATTGTGTTTAACATGACATGCTAGTAACATATTTACCGACGTGAGTACGTTCTCTGCAGCTGTTTTCTTGTTGCCTATTTGGTGCGTTTCTTTCTGTACTGTAGTAACTTCAGTAACTTACTTCCGTGACAGTCACAATGTCACGCGTGATAGCTTGGACTATTTGTATTTTAGTTTCATTCTTTTGTTGTGAGGAGCAGCTACCGAACGTGAATGTCAGTTTTGCGTTTTTTATTATTTTGTTCCGAGTCACAATCACGCCAACGTGGCCCAACTGAGTTGTTAGTTTGCTTATTATCATCTCCGCGTTGAAGTGCATTTTCATGATGAGGCAGCTGAGTCCAGTAATCATTACTGATTGACAAGCTTGATTGGGTCATTTTGTGGTCTGAAATAGGGAAAGTACACGGTCGGTTGTTGTGGAAGTCTCTCTTTGGCTTTGGTGCATACGGGAAACACGTTCCAGTCACTCATACTCGGTCAGTACCGCTGTTCATCCAGCCCTTGCCGCTATCGCGGCGCGGGCTGGATTCCGCGGTACTGCCCTCTTACTCGTGCAGGAACCTGTACTTCTGCCATGGATATAGAAGAGTTGGAGACAATAATTATGCCATTGCAAAACTACTGGTGTCTGTCCCAAATCCATTGTCAATATGGACGACAAGGTAGAACGCACACGCAAAAAAAAAGCTGAAGCAGAACTTGAGAAAGAAGTTTGACACTTTCAGTTCCTTAGTTCAGAATGAGGTGCTGTTTCACTCGCCAACGAAGCCGCGTTCAAACTTGATGCAAGAGATCCCTACGATACAAGTCACCTTTGCCGATACTGGCTTTCATGTGTCCTGCGTACGTGTTGGCTAGTAGCAGAGCCCCCATGGATACCGAATCCAATACTATACAGAGCTTCAAGTTGATGATAGTGGGTTTGGGAGGATCATAACTCAATATTTTGTTCCGTGAAAAAGATTCTAAAATGACGGATGGATCCATTATAGGGATACGATGGGGAATTCTCTGTGTTGCATCGCGCAAACAGATTAAACACAAACCTTTCCACATCAGCCTCTTCTACAGGTTAAAAAATAATATTGAGCAATAGCGACTCTTTAACCATTTCAAAAGTTGTTCGTAACAGTACAGATTGTGTTGAAAACATATACGTATGTGAATTGCAAAGTGCAATTTATATGCCGAAAGATTGGACTGGAGGGGGGGGGGTTGTACAAGTAAAGACATGTGAGAGAACAGAGAAATACCTCAAAATCCTAAAAAGAAACGAAACAATTTTAACCGATGAGGGTGATTTTCACACCAGGGTTCTGCACAATTCTGCATGCATGTCAGGCTACTTCGTGCAGCCTCATTGCAAGACTTTATCAAGAGTGGCGTATGCGCTAAGGTCGTCAGTTTTTGCTGACGACGCTGTGTCGTTGGAAATTCGGCGTTCTGGGAGTCTCCTGGTGGACGTCCGGTGTATTGGGGTTCCCGTGCCTTTCACAACTGTAGTATACACGTCGTCCAGAGACTGCAGGTCAGTTTCAATGTCCTTGTCCAGTTGAGAGCAACCCACATCCGTTCCCTTGGTTATTGCTGAGTAGACATCAGTCTGGGAGTGCATTGTGACAAGAGTGGCCCGCTTGTCAGTGTGAACGTCTCCAGATGTTCTTTTCACTATAGGGGAGTACCCGCTGTCCTGCTGTTGCGTGTCTGCGTAAACACCCACATCAGTCTCCCCGTCCTCGTGGGCTGAGCTCGCCTGAGAGTATAAATCAGAATGGGAGATCAGGCTCTGCTGTGTGCACAGAGCGTGAGAAGAAGGTGATCCACGGGATGCCTGTGGGGAGAGCACCATCTTCGACTGGGAATACATGCTGGGCCGAATCCTGAGGCTGCTGCGTTGAGCATCCTTGTTGCCATTCGGCACACCAGTGTACACATCTGTCATAGAGTATATGCTGTCCTGAGCGCACAGTTCCGCCTGTGAGGTCCCATTTCCCGTCTGGCCTGCAGAGAACGAATCTACCCGTGAGCATTTTTCTCTTTCGGAATGCAGGGAGCCTTTCACCTTTGCCCAGTGGTTGGCCGAACGAGCATCCTTTCCTGAATGAGAGTGAGTGGTGCGTAAGGAGTCAGGTGTTGCTCTGAAACTTGAGTTAGCCGCAGTTTTGTGTTCCTCCATCTGAAAAGGACCTGCACTTGTACGGTTGGTAAGTGTGAGCTTATCCGGAGGGCTTGGGGTACATGACCAATGTCGCCGTGTGAACTGGAGGATGAAGACGAACGCCATTGCAGCCAGTATTGGGAATGCTATTATCATGATGAGGTTCTGTGTAGACTTCGACGCCGCCGCATTATTGAATGTGCCTGTTCGTGATTTATCTAATCAGGAAATGAACATCACATCAGAAAAGCAAACAAGAACAGGTCAGGCTCCCGTTGAAGTATCAGCCAAACATGATAAAACCTTAAAATTTATGTTTCAACAATAACATGTATGCACACGTAACTCCCTTTCCAATAAAAAGATTATATAGTCTGAAGTCGTGATACCTGTCACGGCAGCATTCGTGTGGTTTCTTTGGCGGAAGTCCAGGAGTCTATCAGCACCAGAAGCCGACACGCAGCCCCCCCCCCCCCCCCCAGCCTGATCACAGCCTAAACATTGAAACCAAAGACGCAGACTGTGAAGGGGACACATAAACTTACCAACGCAGTATGGGCTGTCAGACCAGCTCCCATTGGACAGACAGACAATGATGCTACTTCCATTGACTTTGTATCCTCTATTGCATGTCACATGAGCAATACTGTACACTTCAGTTGAAGACAGTGTGAGATTACCATCCCCGACCGGAATCATGGCACATGTTGCTTTCTCTACTCACAGAAAAAAAAGAAAAATGGACACAAGGAACATGTTGCATACCTAGAGTTAATATCAACCCGTGACTATAGCGGAGCTATTCAAATAGTCTCTCCATCATCAGGCTACCCCGGACTGAGACTGTATGATACAAACTTCTAGACAGCTAAAAACAATGGTACCTTCATAATGAACAAGACACCATGTTTGCTCAATACACGACTTTGAGGAACTTAAAAAGAACAGCATTCTGACCAAGGAGGGTTGTTACACAAGCAAGATTACCATGAGAGTGACGAAACGTTCCGATAGTTATACTAAATTTTGATCGTTACAATACTAAACCTACGGTGAATTCCATTGTTTAATGCACGTAGTTACGGTAATTTGTGGTCTTTATGAAGAAATCAGCATAGCGGTGGTTACAACAGGTTCCCATTACTTACTTGTACATCGTGGAACATTAGACCAGTTGCCTGCCGGCATGCAAACCATTGCCTTGTCGCCACTCAGCTGATAACCGTCATTGCAGACGACAGATCGCACGCTGTTTACACTCACATGACCAGGGTAAGACAAGCCGTTGGTGATAGTTACGGCTGGACATGTAACCATCGCTGCAATAAACGAAAACGGCGAAATTATTATAATATTATGAGTTACACATTGAGTTTTACTACAGTCCATTCATAAAAAGATGGGCTCTGGCTCTGGCGAGCTCCCGTATTTGGCGATTTTTCGTGATTTCATCGTACACAGTGCAGTTGAAATTTGAAAAAGGGTCCAAAAAGGGTACCTGAACTGGGGTTCGAACCGCACAATGCACTGTTGCAGACGGGGTCAAACGGCCTGGATTTTTATGGTTTTTCCCAATTCAATGCTTTGGGGGCAAAACCTGGCCGAAATCCTATTCTTGTTATGGCTTGCTTTTTGGAGAAAAAAACTTCAGAAACATAATTGGAAGAGGATTCCATAGAGGATTGCAGAAAAAAATTCTAAAAAAACTCAACGTTTGACCCATTTATGGCCAAAAGCTAGAAGTTCATTTTTTTCTGAATGGACTGTAGCCGACTACGAGTGTCATATCCTAACGAGAGAGCTTGGAAGCTCAGGGCCCTACGCTATGCTTTTTTTGCCTTGATGACCTAGACAAAAAAAGCATAGGGATGTTATAAACTATTTAAAAAAATCCTTTTTTTTAAGACATAACCTGGGATTCGAACCCGCACTATCGCGCGCCCTGCATGCATCCCCCGATACACTTCGCATACATACTAATTCTTCCAAGTTGTTTCACATTGTGATCTTGCATTTGAAAGCCCTATTTGAATATGCATTGTGGCAAGCCGTCTTTGATGGCACGGTACGGTAGGGGATAGGTACGGGACAGGTACGATCGAGGGTAATACGACACCGTCTCCCGTACCGTACCGTACCATCAAACACAGCTGGCCACATACAGCTGCCCGCAATATTCAAATAGGGCTTTCAAACGCAAGATAATAACGTGAAGCAACTTGGAAGAATGGGTATGAATGCGAAGTGTATGGGGGAATGCATGTAGGGCGATAGTGCGGGTTCGAATCCCAGGATATGCCTGAAAAAAAAATAGGAGAATTGAAAAATTTATAACATCCTATGCTTTTTTTGCCGTCAGATACGGATAGCGCCAGGCGTGACACAAACAAACAAACAAACAAACACACACACAAATACCAAATTAAAGCTGTGTAGACCCTGGCTAGCGCCAGACATTACTGAAGTAACGTCTTCTGCATAGCTACGGGAATAAAACCAGGTACCCCTGCGCATTTCCAGAAAAATGTACCTGATATGGAGATCTCCTAGCTCATGCAGTACATGAACATGTTCTGATGGTTATCAGTAACTGTTGCCAATTGAAAGATTGGTCAAGCAACATCAGGACGAGATTCCTCTGTGTCTGTTTGGCATGAGATTTCCTTTAAATTCTAGTGCAGATTGTAGCATATCGCCCCAAGGCTATACAGTCGTCCCTCTCTAATCCGGCACTTGTTTATCCAGCACCCTTGCAAACCAGCACCCTTGCAAACCAGCACCCTTTCTGGCAAAACGGATTCTTTCAGTTCATTTTCTACGCTTTAATCCGCCACTTGAATTCCGCCTCCAGCAGCGATTTTCTGCAACAAATCTTTCAAACTGTACATAATTCGATTTTCTAATCCAGCAGTTGTATTTCGCATACTGTCAGGGAGCATTGTAACCTACACAACACATGTAACATACACTTGGGAATATCCTATGCCAGTGCATAGGATATTCCCGGCAAGTGTATGTTACAGACATGCATTCCACAAAGTACTTGGATTGACACAGAAAATCCCTATGTTTTGACATACAACACAAACATGTATGTTAACTTGTGGGCCGGGTTGGAGGGCAGGATTTGATAATCCAGCACCCTTGTTTATCCAGCAGAAAATGCCGTTGCAAAAGGTGCCGGACAAGTTAGAGAGGGATGACTGTACTTATGGTACAGTGCTGATTGTCACACACGGAATTGTGCTATCTGTTTGGCTTAGATGCATGTGCCTACACTGGTTTGTATCACTGTATCACATTTCATTCCATTCTAACAATTTCCGATCAGTTTAGGCGGATTTGACGTACCCACTGTATCATAAAATCCGTTACTAATCAGACAGCCTGTTGATGGTCTTCAATTCTTCGAAGTACATATATATTGCTGATTGATTCTTGACACTTCGCATATTCAACATTCTTTATCCTCGGATTAAGTATAATAGAATACTTCGTAGACGAGTTCCAGGTCATTCTTCTTTTCCATTGTGTGTTGCTCCTCGTCAGTACTCCCGTTCCATGTCGAGTGTTCCCATGCATAGGGTATCTGTTGTGTCTGTTGTGAATGGTCTGTTGGCAGTGTGCTGTAAAACGGGTAACGCTTGCGACAATAAAATGCTTGCGTTTTACAAATTGTGACTGGTTTGCGCGGTTTAATGTTTGCGATTGAATACATATGTACGACATACATGTACGACACAGTCGAGTCAGTCCTTGCACTGGACTTTACATAGCGTGAGTTTGCGGAGTTCAAAATTTGCGATTCGGGGCCTCTCGCAAAATTCGTATTTTTACGTCGCAATAGTTACCCGTTATACAGTACCGGTTCGGTGACAGTGCCGTAGTGCACCCACCGTGTGCCGGGATTTATCTTCAACATAAACATTCGTATTGAGTAAGAGAATCGGCCTTGCCGTTGAACTGAATGCAAGAGATTAGTACCCCCCCCCCTCCCACACACACCCCCTCCACCCCCCCCCCCCCCTCCACCCCACTACCCGCACCCATTCCCTTCACTGAATATGTAAAGCAGTATCATGACGTTCCATTTATTATAAGTCATGCCCTGCAAATTTTGCGGCATTAGGACAGATTTAACAGCAGTTATTGGTTGTACTCACGATAGCAAATGGGTGTTGTTGATGACCATGTTCCGTTCAGAAGACACGTCGATGTTGCATAGCCGGATAAGACAAATCTATCTTGGCATTTGTATTCTCGCACTGATTGAAAGTCATCACCTCCCGTTACCAGAAAGCCATTCGTGAAGTTTTGCAACGGCGGACAAGTAACTCCTGAGAATTGATTAAAAGGGGAAAAGAACTATCTTGATTTACTGATGATCTTTTAACTTGGGCCGTGCCAACCAAAAATGTATCTCGGGATTTTGTAAGCAAAATTATTTGAATTTATCCAACTCCTTCATGAAAAATTTGGAACTCACCTGAAATTTATATAGCATAAAGACTTGTATAAAAGCCACAGCTCATACGACATTGTTTTGGTTGGTTTTACATTATCCTAGTTGTGACAGGAGCACAAGACGGACTTTTGTGAGGATTGAAGTATTGATGTAAAATTATCACAAATGTCACTAGCATTGCAGGTATAGTTGGCATACTATAGCCCTTTCAGCCAGATTGGATTTCTAAACGTTTCTTGAGCTGCACACTTCCTTTGTTGATATCAAAATAATTCATGTTACGAGTCGAACGTGTGGCTTATACATCTTCTACATAAAACCATAGTTGTGATGTAGCCTGTCCGCTCTAGGAAGGAGCATAATGCCATGTTTTGAAGCAGTGGCTAGTATGCCAAGATCATATACGTAAAATTGTTCCAATACAAGAGTGGCATCTAATCAAGTGCGGCTTTTATCCTCGACTTTACTGTATGCCGTAAATAGGCATGAAGAGAGCATGTCTGAGAATACCAAAGTATGTGTGCAAGTGGATCTCTCCGATTTCGCTCAAATTTTGCAGGTAGGTTCCCTTTGGTGTGTGGATCGATTGTGCAAAGCCCTTGGAAAAGTTTCTGAAGGGAACCTTGAAATTTGCATACCCCTCAAAAATGGCCGAAATATCACATTATTTATGGGTCTAGAAACGAGTCGCGCCACAGAGTATACGAACAAGCTATGAACAAAAACTCCATCAAGCCAACATTCCCTCACCTTAGAAGAGTTCCTGGAGCAGTACCGCTTAGCTACGCCAGGATCCCAGAAGACGAGGTCTATCGCCCCTGACGCCACAAATTATCGTCTTGAAAATAGCCAATTTACAAGCGCTGGCAAAACAGCCAGCTACGTCCTCAATTGGCCAGAACTATACACTGGCAGATAGTAGAACACCTCTTCTAGCGCTGAGGACATGTCCCCCATATTCCTTTTGGGGTTTTCTTGAAATAAACTTTTTTGAATTTTTCCTCCCGACCATGCTGAAATACGGCCAAAGTCATACATGGGCAGGAAAGCTAGCCCCTCCGCGACGTCTCCTCAGCAATTTCTACTCCAACACTACTCCCAAGGCCGCAGAACTAAGTGTATTGTTGACTCTGACAAGGAAAAGCAGCAGTGATCACTTGTCACTCCAAACGACAAGCATCTCCGTGCGCCACCAATATTTGTTTGTGCGACTGCTGATGCAAAAGTGACTGAAAGGGAAACTGAACGCCAAAAATAAGTATGGCTTATCCGAAGGAGAATTGGGCACTGATTCCGATGAGCTATGTCTCGAGCCGATCAGAGAAGAGGAACCGTGTCAAATTTCATAAATAACACCTTCCATATTTGGAAATTGGGCTTGATGACGTGCGTACTGCTTAGCTGTCACCATGCTGTGCATGCTCAGCAGTGTAATTGAATGGAAGAAAACAATTACTTTGGTGTTTTGCAGCTCTATTTCGTTCCCTGGCGGTACCCAAATCTAGATGTAGGAGTCTGTTGAGCAGGAGAGTGACACATGTCTTCCCGAAGGCTGTCCAGCCTGCAGTGGTGATGAAGAAGACACGAATATCACCCCAAGATCGATTGTAGCGAATTGGAAAACTCATGGTGAATTTGCTTCCACTCCAAGGCAATGTCGAGGTATGAAGGGTGCTTGTACTGCCTTCCAAAGTGCAGCGGAGATGAACATGGCTTTGCATAGCTGTTGCTCTACGCCAACTTACCTACTCTTGCTGGTTCCGTAGTGGTATATTGCAAATTTCGTGGACGAACAATTCGAGTCACTAGTGGCTAGTGAGCACCACTAACAGGTGAGATTTTTCAATTTGATAAAAATTGTTTTTGTTTGAGAACTGACGGTGGCAATCATTTGACTCAGTAGGTGTCTCTGCTGCTTCTTTCCCTTCATTGGTAGGGTTGTGCTTGATAGTACAAGTGCTTGAAGTAAAATAAAATAAATAGAACATGTGGAACATAAATCTAATCAAGCATCAGTACATGTATTGCGAATTTCAACTTCAAAGCACATAAAATTACAATGATCACAAAGTTTATGGAATCAGGAGGACTCCCTGTGTTCAACGAACACAATACACACATTCTATATTGCGCGCACACATGTACACATGTGCGTGCACCCCCACCCCATCCCACAGACACACGCATGCAACGCGCACATCCATACACATGTGTGTGAACCCCCCCCCACACACACACACACACTCCTACCCATACACATATGCGTCTACCCCCAGCTCCCCCCCCCCACACACACACGTGTGCACAGACGGATACACAAACACACACACACACACACACACACACACACACACACACACACAAGTTACTTGTAAGTGTACATGGTCTTCCTGGTGCAGATGCTGGGCCAGCACAATGGAAAATACCTCCATCAAGATGCTTGATCAAGTGTTGTGATAATGGCACTGTTTGTTTGTTTTTACAAAGATGTGTGGGAAGGATTACAATGCGTTATAATTCATAATATTATTGTTCTTTGCCTTGTACTGTGCAGACCAGAATGCTTCGCCATCAACTCCTGGCTTTCCATCGGCATGGTGTTCAGCTGCAGCGGCATCTGGTCCGGGGAGTACGTTGCTGCACGTTTATGTAATTTATATTGTCGCTCGTCCAGCAACGTCAAGGCTCTGCATGTAAACACAGGAGAACACCATAATAATTATACTACTCAGGGGATAATAATTATAATTTTGGATTATCAATTTCTTGACATTTATGAGTTCCTGTCTAAACCATGTCGTGATATTGATTGCTATCTGCTCACAAAGTACCTCGTATTGTAACAATACTCTGCTTAATCACTACCCTCTGCCAATTATTAGATTCGCACAATATTCACAACATATGCAACACAATGCTGTCTATTGACACTACTTCGAACTGAAATGCTTACTACTCGTCTCCCGTTTTCAACTCCCTCTACCTTATGAATACTCTACTTTACTGGTTTCGTTTCTACCCTTTCCATTGCTGCCAGCCCCCAGTCTTTTTCAGTGGACAGCACCATATTGAAATTTTTGTGATTTGATGTACACATACTTTGAAATTGAAATTCGAATTACATGATCAGATTTTTGTTCCACATGTTCTATTTATTTCGACTTCAAGCACAACCCTATCGATGAAGGGAAAGAAGCCGCAGAGAGACACCTACTGAGTCTAATGACTGCCACCGTCTGTTCTCAAACAAGAACAATTTTTGTCAAATTGAAAAATCTCACCTGTTAGTGTTGCTCACTAGCCACTAGTGACTCAAATTGTTCGTCCACGAAATTTGCAATATACCACTACGGTACCAGCAAGAGTAGGTAAGTAAGTTGGCGTAGAACAACAGCTATGCCAAGCCATGTTCATCTCCGCTTCACTTTGGAAGGCAGTACAAGCACCCTTCATACCTCGACATTGCCTTGGAGTGGAAGCAAATTCACCATGAGTTTTTCAATTCGCTACAATCGATCTTGGGGTGTTATTCGTGTCTTCTTCATCACCACTGCAGGCTGGACAGCCTTCGGGAAGACATGTGTCACTCTCCTGCTCAACAGATTCCTACATCTAGATTTGGGTACCGTCAGGGAACGAAATAGAGCTGCAAAACACCAAAGTAATTGTTTTCTTCCATTCAATTACACTGCTGAGCATGCACAGCATGGTGACAGCTAAGCAGTACGCACGTCATCAAGCCCATTTTCCAAATATGGAAGGTGTTATTTATGAAATTTGACACGGTTCCTCTTCTCTGATCGGCTCGAGACATAGCTCATCGGAATCAGTGCCCAATTCTCCTTCGGATAAGCCATACTTATTTTTGGCGTTCAGTTTCCCTTGAAGTCCTAAGCGTAGTTTTTGAATTTTACTACAAGAGGCTTGGTGAAATCACGTGCCGTGTGACGCAAGAATGCCAAGTCGCGTTGATCACGGATCACGATGTTTCAGAGTCACCTTCGTAAAGTGCGCTTGTTACTCGCCTTGAACGCCCGTTGGTCTGGAAGTGATCACACTTGTGTTGTTACTGCGCTCAAGAACATGCTGACCGTGTTGTAGGCCTACGAACTGGGACTTTCCCTGACCATGTAGGTCGAAGACCAGTGAAATGATGATGAAATCACATTCTTTATGACGTAAGAAATCTGTCATGCAGTGCACGCGACAAGTGCGTGCAGTCAGTGCTGGTCGCGTGCCAGTCAACACAAAGCGACCGAGCTCGCGAGATAGCAGCTTTCGTCGAGCAGCGACATGAAAACAAGGGGCTTTTACCATGTTTACTGTTGGACTATGTTCGGGATTGCAGGAGGTAAGTGTGAAAGATGAATAACTCTCCATGCTGTACGAGGGGCATACCGTATTTCAACGGCTTGCTGCTATTGCAACACTCCTAGGACAGTTTGTGGGGGTTCTCAGCAGATCAAGCAGGAAATGCAGCTCATCTTACCTCTGCCATCACGGTCTGTTCCGAGTAGCGTTCCAGGCACATTCGCGATCGATGGCCGCGTATCGTGGTGCAGGAAGCGTCATCGTACGTCACAGAGCACACGATCTCACCGTGCATCTTGCAATAAAATTTAAAAATTGCGCTCTCATGCCTTCAGTCACTTTTGCATCAACAGTCGCACAAAAAATTATTGGTGGCGCAAGGAGAAGCTTGTCGTTTGGAGTGACAAGTGATCACCGCTGCTTTTACTTGTCAGAGTCAAAACTACACTTTGTTCTGCGGCCTTGGGAGTAGTGTTGGAGTAGAAATTGCTGAGGAGACGTCGCGGAGGGGCGAGCTTTCCTGCGCAGGTATGACTTTGGCCGTATTTCAGCATGGTCGAGAGGAAAAATTCAAAAAGTTTATTTCAAGAAAACCCCAAAAGGAAGATGGGGGACATGTCCTCAGCGCTAGAAGAGGTGTTCTACTATCTGCCGATGTATAGTTCTGGCCAATTGAGGACGTAGCTGGCTGTTTTGCCAGCGCTTGTAAATTGGCTATTTTCAAGACGATAATTTGTGGCGTCAGGGGGTGATGGACCTCGTCTTCTGGGATCCTGGCGTGGCTAAGCGGTACTGCTCCAGGAACTCTTCTAAGGTGAGGCAATGTTGGCTTGATGGAGTTTTGTTCGTAGCTTGTTCGGATACGCTGTGGCGTGACTCGTTTCTAGACCCATAAATAATGTGATATTTCGGCCATTTTTGAGGGGTATGCAAATTTCAAGGTTCCCTTCAGAAACTTTTTCAAGGGCTTTGCACAATCGATCCACACACCAAAGGGAACCTACCTGCAAAATTTGAGCGAAATCGGAGAGATCCACTTGCACGCATACTTTGGTATTCTCAGACATGCTCTCTTAAGTTCTCAAGTGCAGAAGAATGGCAAGCTGCTACCATTGGTCAGTTCAAGCACGAGGTTTAAGCCAGCAACCCGTCGAAGTTGGGCTGGCGTTTTTTCGTACACACACTCACAGCTCTGAATGCAACACATAACTGAGGATAGACCAGTGTACAACTGCTTTAACTTTGGCCCCCCTATTTCAAGTTCAACATAATTATTACGACTCACTGGAAATCCAATGAATGTAGTTTGTCCTCAATGTGTCGAGTAAAATAGTAGGACTGGTTGGTGTTTACCGTATTTTACCGGTTGTAAATCGACCTCGGTTATAGGTCGACCCCCGTATCCGGAGGCCTCAATTCTGCATTTTAAAGTTTTCCACCAAAAAAGCACTACTAACCACTCCCTGCTACTAACACAACAACTAATCATGTAAACATTCCTTATTGGAGGGTATAACATCCCTATCTTTGAAAAGGCCAATAAACTGGCAAAAATGTGTACACATGGTGCACTCGTGCATGCAGTGCAGGTAATTTTTTTGTAAGATACTGATAGTTCCCGGTTGTAAGTCGAATCCCGGTTGTAAGTCGACCCCCACCATTTCTCCTTCTATTTTTAGTTGTAAAAGGTCAACTTACAACCGGAAAAATACGGTATTTGAATTCGCAAACCGAATGTACTGATCATATCCAATGACAATGAAGCGAATGAGGTCCACGTGACCCAAGCAGGGGAAAACTTGCAAAGGAGACACAGATTAAAAGAAAATATGGAAAAGGAAAGCTCTCAGCAAAAGAAAAAGAAAAGAAGAAAGAAAGAAAGTGTAGACTTACGGGTGCAGGTGGGATTGATTGAAGACCAGAGGCCATTATCTGTACATGTTAAAGCGGGCAGCCCTATGAGGTTATAACCAGCTTCGCACGTAAATGAGGCTACTGAGCCGGACGTGTTTCCACTCACATAAACCATTCCATTGATCGGTTTGGCCAGCATTGTGCACGTGCGAGCTGTAATTCAATAATTGTAACAATAGAATGCAAAACTCAGAGTTGTAACAAAGCTTCGGATCTCTCCCTTGTGTAACAAAAGAGTGCAAAACAAGAATGCAGCATCTTAATGGCCACACCGCTCTACCTACATCACTCCGCATTAAACACAAGGACTAGCGGGAAGCGGCACTTGTTATGGTTCCTTTGATCCAAGGATCAGAATTATTGAGGATGTGACAACAACACGATGATATCAATCCAATGCCTCATCTACGCATGCATTCACCCAAGTACAGTAAAACTTGTCAAGGTGCCCACTCGGATAACACGACCACCTGCCCTAGAAGATCACTGCAACGAGAACCAAGGGATGCTATTTCCAGTCAATTGACCCTGGATAAGGCGACCACCTGGTGACAGAGACCATATTTTGAAGGTCCCTTGAGCGATCTTTTTAGTCAGGTTTCGCTGTACGAGCACAAGCAGCCAAGTAGGATATTTCATGGCTATTGAATGTTTTTGTACCCTTCTTCTCAACCATACTACAGGAAAGAATGTACATTATATAAGGGGCAATGGCTCTAAAGATAAGCAGTTTCTAGTTTGAGCACTCTCATAAGGTACATTCGGGCCTGGTTAAATCTGGCTTTGGAACATTTATTTTTCATTGATATCAGGTTCGGCCTCATTTTCTCTGTGCTGCGCTGATGAGTCCACAAACGACGAAACAGTTCTGTCCGCCGATTGAAGATAAGCAGTTCAAATATACGGCACTCTATAATAACGAGCAACTTACCAATGCATGTCAATTCGGTCCAATTCCCAGCAGCCGTACATGTGATATTGTCACTGCCAGTGTACCCATCATTACACTCTACAAACACGCTGTCACCGTACGCATAGGATTTTGACGAGTTATGTATGACCACTGCGTTGGCGATAGTCGGTGAGCCAGGGCAGGGTCGAGCTGTGTGAAAGGAGACAAAATGGGAAAAGTAATACTTGGCAACTGACGGTAATACTAGAGAGCTTGAAAGCTCAGTGCCCTATGCTATGCTTTCTTGCCTTGGTCATCATCCATGTTATTAGAACAACCGGCTACATAATTGTATCTAAAGCGTTTCCCTCACGTTATTAGACTCCATAGCCATTATTCGGACCATGTGTCCATGTGTCATACACAACGGTATTCCACCTTCGGCGCATAGTTTTTTCTCTTTGTACAGTTTCTTTCACGTCAGTCCGCTTTGTACGCTTCACTCGCTCTTTCTTTTCCTTTCCAAGATCTTTTCCGTTTGGCATTCTTCGGCAACTGCTCTCGGCTCCAACTCTGTTGGGGTGTAAAATAGGGACTTCATACATGCATTTTGGTGTATGTAAATCATTATTCATAAAGATCAAGAACCATCCTCCTCTGTCACCCATGTTTCCTCTTTCCCTTTCCTGCATTTTCTCTACCTTGTCATACACAACGGTATTCCACATTCAGCGCATAACTTTTCTCCCAAATGGATTTTACTATTCATGTATCCTGAATATAATTAAAATCGAAGGAATCACATGGAAACGAGTTATGTGATTACTTCTATTTTAATTACATTTATTGGCTCGGTGTCCGAGTATCATGAACAGCCAACCTATAACTCTGTACTCTACAAACTTTCCACCTTTAGGAACATGCTCGACTCGCCATCCAACTCCAAATACTTATTCTGACTCTTACATTATACTCCGAATACAGCAGGCAGACGAATATGACTGTAGTAGCCGGATTTTCCCCTGCACAAATCACTTTGTATTATTATGTATTGCACTATCCATTGCTGGCCCCATCAGGTCCCTTGCTTTTAATTTAGACTAAATTAGAGATCGCTAGCTAACGCTCAGAGCTGTAACTGGCAATCTTGTACCGTATATAGATCCGTCTTTCAGTTCCTCAGCTCAGTTCTTGTAGAGTCTTTGCTTCCGTTGTTTCTGTAGTCTTACCTTCACTTGAGTCTTTCGATAATACTATACGTTCTGTGCTACCTACGTTTGTCCTTTCGTGCAATATTGTTCCCTGAGAATACCGTCTTTTGTTTTGAGTCGGAGAGACTGAACCAGTTTTGCCTTGTCACTCGGTCGCTTATCACAATGCCATTGAAGGTTTTGTTGATTCTTTTAAACTGGCCAACGGCGAGGGCTTCCCACAGATCTTGGTCAGTCCAGAAGAGAGCGTTTGATTTTCAGTGCTGCATGAGTGCCGGTGTTACCAATAGTCGTGCAGAACACCAGAAGAATATTATGCCGACGAGTAGTTATGGGAGTCAGGAATAATGATAGAATATTGTTTCGTTATTTTTAGATACAGGCCAAGTAGATTTCACTTACGCTCGCACGTTGGTGGCCTCCCGGACCATGTTCGATTTGAAAGGCAGGTGGTAGTGCCAACACCGACAAGTCTGTACCCCAGTTGGCATGAGTAGATGCGCACTGATGGAACGCTATCATCACCAGAGGATAGTTGTCCATTTGCGGGAGCGGTCGGTGCAGAGCCGCATGTTATTTCTGAAAACATCATGAAAACATACAGCAAAGAGTTACAGTGGTACAGGTCTTTCCGGAAATGTTTGGAATTACTGTCCATTCTTAAAAAATGGACTTCAATATGTAGCGTTTGGCCATAGAGTGGTCAACCTTTTGAGTTTTGTTCAGAATTGCTTTCTGCAAACCCCTATGGAATCCTCTTTTTTTCTTTCAATTACGCTATAATATAACACCAAAAGCAAGCTCTGACAAGAAAAGGGTTTCGCCCAGGTTTTACCCCAAAAGCATTGAATTGGGAAAAAACTATGAAAATCCAGGCCATTTTACTCCCGCTGCAACAGTACATTGTGCGATTCTCACCCCAGTTGAAGCACTTATTTGGAGCCCTTTTCAAATTTCAATTTTCGCAGCACTGTACTGTGTAAAAAGATCATGAAAATCGCCAATATGGAAGATCGCCCTAGCCAGGGCCCCTCTTTTTATGAATGGACTGTGGGAACTTATAATTCGAAATATCCGCCATCTGAGATCGCGTGTTTCGAACGGTTTCTTAATGTTGCAGTTTGACGAGGTAATATCTGTTTCATGTAAGAGATCGGCGTATTTGCGGTGTGTTGAAGGCAAAACAAACTATTGATTTCTTTCTGCTCTGGGTGGTAGTGAAGGTATTCTTCTGTTTTTCCGCACATGGCTCATGAAATACATGTCATCATTCACTCAATTCACTCCCTTTTGAACTAAAGGGCCAATAAATATTTTTATCACTCCATTAGTATTGACTCACATAGATTTTTGCCATACCTAAGCAGTCAAATATTCCTGCATATTTCACTCCTTAGGGCTATATTGACTGCTTATATTTGACTGCTTAGGGGTTGCGCAGTTGAACGGTGCCTAGTGCAGCATTGTCACTGCATGAGTAGGTGGTGGTGCAACGATTGTGCAATCATAAAACCGGGATTCATGAGGTTATCGTTCTGGAATTTGAAATACGGACTGTTTGTCGTGATAAATCTAATATTGACTTCGTACTTGGTCAGTATAGGAAATAAAAACCTCGTAAAAGACCTCGGCTTCGCCTCGGTCTTTTACTCGGCTTTTATTTCCTATATTGACCTCGTACTCAGTCAATATTAGATACATATCCAACACCGGTCAATGTTTATGTAAGCAGAGCTATCAAGCAAGTCACAGAGCACCACGAATAATCCGTGTACAGTGAAGAACCTTAAGCCGTTAGCGTGCATGGTTCGAGATCGCACCATAGAAGCTTGGGCACTTGCGCATATACTCTACTCATCTTAACCCTGCACCAGCCGCAGGATTTATATGTAAAAAAAACTGGGTCCACTACATGGATAATAGAGACTAAACGGTAAATATTTTGTATTGACATCTTTACAGTTCTGGAAAGCTGGTAGTATTACCTTTCATATGAGACAACTAAGCTGATAACATGTAGAAACGTTGCCATTCATGGTGACCAATAACTTGGGCAATGCGGCCGAATTAGCAAATTCGAGGACCATGACAATATGTACACTGTTCGGCTTCAGCTCATGCACCAGTTCATCTGTCAAGATTCAAACACCAGCAGAACCAGGTTGCTCTAGCGCTTATTTTTTGGTGCATGTCACGCATGGGCTGTGCACTGGGGAATTCGCAAACACATACTTCAGCATGAAGCGCGTCACAGCCACACGCTTGAAATTTCAACTCCACCCGTTTGCTGGACCTCGAGCTTCGGCGCTTGAGTATTTTACGTTGCTCTATATCGAATGATACATTGTTAGAAAGCTGCGTTCAATAGCTTTCCAATGAGCCTGCATATGTTGAATTTGAAGTAGGCAGACCGAAGTTATAGCTGTTTGTACACTGCTCTATGCTCGTTTGTAGCATGAAATACGCCACAGTCACACGCTTGAAATTTCAACTTCAACCTGTTTCCTGGACTATGAGCTTCAGCGCTTGAGTATATTTTACCTCGCGCTATATCGAATGAAACATTATTGGAAAGCTGCGTTCAATAGCTTTCCAATGAGCCGTCATTTGTTGAATTTGAAGTAGCCGATTTTCTCGAAAAAAAATTATGTGCAGCACACGGTTTTCTCGATGGTAGGTGATTCCGTAGGTTTTCAGCAGTAGTTTGCGATTATTCCGACCGCGGTGTGGCAAAAGACCATGGTTTACAGAGCGAAAATGAATGCATCGAATTCGACGCGTTCGCGCTATGTACGGCTGGTAAAGGATTAACTCAGCCACTTCTCAAACGAAATTTAAAATCGAAATATCTAGCAGGTAGCCGAGAGACTTAGCTATCGGCTCGAACAACTCACAGCTAACTACGATGATGTTTGCGCCAGCCGCGTGCGAACGAACATTCACGCTTTTGTGCTGAACAAAAATTCCAACATTCTTTTTGCGCACAACAGAGATTTCCCCTGCGTCGGCCAAGGATGCGTGTGTCATCACTCCCAAAGAAGATGGCCAAGGATGTGTTGCATGTTTTCGAGAAAAAAATGATGACTTTTGATCAAAGGAAAGTGTGATGGCAGGACAAGCGAATTTGGCACTGTGACTTGGAGTTGTTGTGTTGTTCCTGGAGGTGTAGTGGTGGACAGTGATGGTTTATCATGATCAGTTTGAGATCGTTGTTCTCCTCTTTCCAAGAGCTTTCAAGTAAGCCCAAGCTCATCTAAATTGGCGAAGCACAACTGATGTTATGGTGAAAAATCGAACAATTAGTAAGGACAGGTTGTTGCCAATTTCGTAAAATTGAACTCTGAAGGGTAAATATGGTTGTGATAATTAAAAAAACTCGACCCTAGTAGTGACAATAGCGACGACAATGACGACAATTACCGATGTTTTCCTGTAAAGTAAGCGGTAGATGTGAACTGATGTTTGTCATTTGGATGCTTTGCACGCGTGCAAGTGGGGTTTCAACCAATACAAATGGCTGACGTGGGATAGTGCCCTGTGTTTACAGGCAAATACTGCAACAATGTGGAGGTGTATTGGACTCGGCTCATGTGAAATTTATGTAGCCTTGAAAATACTGGAAATAACAAACATTTCACATGTTTTGAAAGGTTTAGCAAACTTCAAACTCCAAGGATCAGGCTGGGAAGTGAACTTCCTAGAAAGGGAAAAAAAACCAACACAACTAGCGCTCAACCCTTAGCCCATGATGGATTGGCATGGTCTTGATAATCAATGACCTAATGTTTAGTTCTGTGACATCTCGCAAGTGAAAACAAACATCTGTCAAGCCATTGGTGCTTTCTTTTCTTTACCCTTTGCATGCTGAGCCCTTTTCTCCAATCCACTGGCTTTCCAGCGCACTGACTCTCTTGGTGGAGTATGCACTCACAGCTCCGAACGAAATTTATTCTCATTTCACTCCACCTTGTTGGATTTTCATCGTCCTTGTCTCGTTGGAAAGATCAGGACCAAGCGAATCCATCCTGGCAGCTCTCAGCTCCATAGACACATCAGGGCCACTTCCATGTCCTCTCCAAACTACTCCACCGGGCCTCGGAACAGCACAACTCA